GATGAAACGTTTTGCATAGATGAGCTGGAAAAGATGAAAAGTGCCAAAAATCTGGAAGGGAGAGTGGCAGTCACAACATTTCTGCTTCCAAAGTTTGATCTTTTACGCACACCATTAAAAACACAGTATTGCTATGGCACCGTATCTGCAATATTTCAAAAAAACTTATCTGAAATCAAGTGAGTAAGAAACAAGAGGCTGCTCTTCCTGCCCATGATCAGAGCTCGTTTCTGGAGGATTCCTCTGAAGTCCACCAAACTTTCCACAGACTTCACGGGATTTAAAAAAAAACCCAAAGCATAAATACTGACTCCTTTACTCCTACAACCCCAGCTCACTCCAGAATTTCCCAGGGAATTTGGCCTCAGGGGATCACCGAATTTCTCTGTTTCCTTCTTCCTATACATGTAAAAGCTCCAAAGTTCTCCACACACTTGGATGCAAGGTGGGGGAAAGGACCATTTTCACTACCGAAGCTTGTGCTCTCCACAGCCAGAGCTTTGCTGACAAGCCACCCGGCCTCAGAAGATTAAAAAGGATAGTTTCCCTCTCACTTCACATCTCGGTGTTTTATCTATCCCAGTTTCCATCACACACAAACCAGAGATTGCTCCTTCCTGCCACATAAAGCCGAGCACAGGCAGTCCACCCACACCGCTGTGTCACCACCAATAATTTTTGCCTTCGAGGTCTGAGCAGCATTTCTCCTGATCCACCAAACCCCCACAGCGTGGAGTATTCTTGTAGTTGGTTTCCTTCCATCTACTACATCCAACCGTCTTGAGTGAACATCACCTTTAATTTAACGTCAGTCAAGGATCACAGAATCATAGAATCACAGAATGGTTTGGGTTGGAAGGGACCTTCAAGACCATCGAGTTCCAACCCCCCTGCCATGGGCAGGGACACCTCCCACCAGCCCAGGTTGCTCAAAGCCTCATCCAGCCTGGCCTTGAACCCCTCCAGGGATGGGGCATCCACAGCTCCTCTGGGCAACCTGGGCCACTGCCTCACCACCTGCACAGTGAAAAATTTCTTCCTAATGTCTAGTCTACATCTACCTTCTTTCAGCTTATAACTGTTACCCCTTGTCCCCTCACTACACTACAGCTTTGCGAGGGATCAGAGGAGCTACTCCTGGTCTTTGCAAGCTATGCAGCTTCATCTATCACCGTGGTCATGTTACTCCATATCAATAAAAGGTTCTGGACCAGAGCTGTGGTTGTAATCTCCCATATTCCCTCTACATCGCTTTTTTCACGGACCTGCTCACCATGGTGCCTCTCCTCCCTGAGATCACATCAGGAGGAGCTGCCACGGCAGGGCTGTCCCCTTGCAATTCATGAGCTGGCTTTGACAACTCTGCTGCAATTGTAAAAAATATGCTAAAATATTATAATGGCCCTATCCTCATTTAATCCATTCTCTCCAACAGCAAAGTTGGATTTCAGAAGTTAAAAGCAAAGCAGCTAAGCTAGTTCAACTAAATACTTCCTTCCCTTTGATGGAAGCACTGCCAGACTCATCAGCCTCCTCTGTTGACCTGACAATAAAAGAGAAGCCAGCTATGTTTTTCCGACAGAATTTGCATTGCCAGTGCACCCAGATCTCCAGAACTTCTTAAGAGATCCTCCTAAATAATATGGGGAGTTGGTGATTACATATTATCATTTTCTCCCTCCGTGTCTCAGATTTCATATCCTTAGGATTACAGCCTGAGCTCAGGATGTGGTACCAGACAGCTGACAGCATTTCTTCTCAGAATGTTCAGACTTTTCTATCAAAGGATTTCTCTGGGGCTTGAAGCTTTTTCAGTGGGAGAGCATGACACATCATGCACAGTGGAAAGATAAACTTATTGTTCAAAGAAGGTCAAGACTGGACATTTGGAGCTTTGACCGCACGGGAGAAGCGAAAATGAAATAGCCTGCAACTCAGACAAAAAAAATAAAATCTTGATGTGAAAAGAGTGTTTTCTTACTCTCAGTGCGCAAAAGAGTGATGGCAGAAAACAAGGAGGGTCCTTCTTTCTGCAACAGCCCTTCTTTTCGTCTGTTTAAGCAGCACAAGCAGAAGCTCAGGATGGTCAATGCTGGCTCACCAACCCCACATTGCAACAGGTAGTAACCTCCGTGTAGCTAAAACCTCCTGGGCAGTATTGATTTGCCAACCATGGAGAAGAGAGCAGCAGGTAGGGTCCATCCTCAGCCCCCGCTCCCGCAAGCTGCCACCACACCATTCCCACTTGGTCACACAGATGCTGATTTTTCAGTACCCGGTGCAAGGCAAGGAGGCCAAAAATTTTCTGAAAGCTTCTGCATATGGCATTTCTGACAAATGCCAGAGTTTTTCAATCCATTTTTTGAGCAACACCTGAAAAAATTAATCAGAAATTAAACCCGTTGCAACATGCATTTCATCTCAAGGATTATTTTATATATATTCCTTTCTGGCTTGCAAATCACGCCTTATATCTAACTATACACCTATGTACACCTTCACAGACATGTCTGGGGCTGTTTCTGTAGTCCCTACACAAATAAAACACCCATCCACTTGAATGGGAGCTCTTTTCAAATAAATGTGGCAAGACTGGGCCTTTGGCGCACACATGCTAGGATCCTGCACACACATATTTTTAAAATCATTAAAAAAATATAGTAGCTATAGATTTATAACTGATCAAAATCTAAACAGTGTAAAACTGCACTTATTATGGTATAGCCTAGGTGAATTTACATTGCTCGTTTAGATGAAGCAAACAAAGGAAAGGAAATGTCTGTAATAAGTTTTGCTTATCCTTTTGTCTGTCCAAAAAAGTCCAAAAAAGGATTTTTGCAACTAAAAAGAGGGATTTGCACCATTTCTTACCAACGAATGGATGCTTCTCAAGTGCTTTCCCATCTGTTTTAGAAATCTGTTTCGCAACATCTCAGACTCCTTTCAGTTGCTTTTGTTCACTTCAATCACCACAATAAAAAAAATTCCTTTACTAAAGAAGGTAACCTTAGCAAAGCAGCAGCAGCAAAGCGATACTGAAGTCTACCAGCTTCAGCCTCATTCCTGTTATCCTAAAGCTTAATGCACAGCAAAACGGCCAACCCACAGGGTCACACTGCTCTCTAAATAGCACTTTCATGACAGCACTTCATTATCAAAGCCCTTTGCACAGAAATTTACCAAACACAGGGAACACAAAGATCTCTTTTGCATATCAAATCAAGGAAACTATTTAATCTACAAGGTTGTTCTTGTGCGGTGTATTTCACAGCTAGCCGGTACGAGGTGGTGCTCACTAACGTCCGGTGTAACTCTTAAGACCAAAATAGCACAACACAAATATATAAAGTTTAAGCACAGGTCCTTCACATATCCCTGGTTGGTATTTCCCAAGTGAGCTCCGACACCTTTATCAGGATGTGAGTTGGTTTTAAAGTAATCCGAGCTCTGGAGTCTAGCGTCAAGTCAAGGAAATACACTCACAGACACTGTCCAGGTCACTGCAGGTCAGTAGGGACTTTTGAACCATTGTGCTTTCGACCATTGTGCTTCACTCCATTTTTTATCATTTATTCACAGCTCTCAGCGTAGCACAAAGGCTTTGAAAAGCTTTGTGCATTCGTGCATTACAAAATCAAAATCCAAATCCAGATTTGGATTTAAACCCTCTCCCCACCCCAAAAGAAAAAGTATTCCTCATATAAAACTAACACTTTAAATGCCAAACCCTTGATCTAAGTAATCTAAGTAAGCCATGACAAGGACAGCAGCCCAGGTGCTTCAGACTAAGAATTTATACAAGGAAACTCTGTGCATTTAAGTATGCCAGCACAGCCGAAACAGCAAACCTCACCCTCCTGTGTACGCAGTCGTGCCAGCAGCCTGCTACTGCAGCCAAAATAAACTCCAGCGATATGTGGCATCTCTTCTCCACCAGGATTTTGCCTATTTAACGCTATCAGGTGAAAAATTAAGCTTGGCATAACTGACAAAGTTACACTGGTAGCTTTTTAAAGAACACATCAGCCCTTTTACTATCCTAATAACATCCTCGACATACAAAAATACCATGTTAAGACATCTGACATCTTGAGGTGCATCATTTTAAAATAAGCATCATAATCCAAGCCACAAAGTATCTTCACTGTATTTTACCTTCCTTTCCTGCCAGTACTTATCACGGATACCTGACAGTATTTAACGCGACCTGCACAACAGTGAATCAACATTCAGGTACTCTTACCAAGTGTTTAATAAAAATCAAGGAGGAAATGCCCTTTTTCTATCTTATTTGGACTAAAAAATCAACTCTGAAAATATAACTGCGTAAACTCCTTGCTATTCAGCCAGAGAAAATCTTGCAGAGGTGTGAAGGAGCATGTTTCTTCTTTAAGGAGTCCAATCTGCAGCTGAGACGGTCACTGCAGAAGGAAGTACACACATTTCTCACGCGTTATGTAGAAGGAAAGCATTACCAGCAATGAGAAAGAAAACATGATCAGCAGAGACCAGAAATGTAAGACAGAAGAAGAAAGAAGCTCTAAAACAATTGCACACCGTGATTAACAGTTACCTGCTGCTGTGGATGTAAGTTCAACATTCTCTTCTATCCTGGCTGAAAAATTTAATTAAGTGATCTTGTTTATTCCTATCACACCTATCTGCTATTTTTCACCAATATTTTGTGACATTACAGAACAAAGACCTCAAGTTATACACTACCCTTTAAAACTATAATGCTAAAAAGTATTTTCAAAAGCCCAAATGCCAGAGAAGGGTGCTTTCAATAAAATCTGGCAGCGCCCCAAGATACTCGACTCAGAAACCTACATAAAGTCATCCAGTCTACGCTAAAATTCTCCACCATTGATTCTCCTCAAAAGTTTGGTGCTTTTCTTCGCGGTGAAATGAGAACTATATTAATGTGCTCTGTTTATCCCTAAACCTATTGGAAATGTGCTTCTTATCTGACTCTGCTTTCCAGGGCAGGGTATACCCTGGGACAAAAGAGTTTTGCTTCTCCCACACTGTTACGGACCCAACTCTGCTAGAAGGAAAGATGCTGGTATCCCAGATTTTATGGGATGCCTTGAGGAAAATTGATATCAAACAATTATTGCATAATCTCAGGGTGTAATAAAACCTCCTACGCCATACACAGGCATTGAGTTCCAGTTACACTTTTGTGTCAGAGGAAGAAATGTCCCAGTCAACAGCAGCTACAGGTCCCTGTATGAACCCGCAGAATCCCTTTGCTGTGCATGTGGAGGAAGTTGAAGATTTCCGAGGGCATAGCGTGAAAACCAGGGCGAGGTTTCACATTGTCATAGTAGTGGTGAGTTATAAAAATCCCTGAGGGGTTCATGGGGAAAGCCCAGAAGCCAAAAAGATGAACCTCTTCGCAGAGCTCCAGGGCGGCAGTCACCAGGATCAGTCCTGTGCTGATCCGCTTGGCCCGTACCCCTTGGCCGAGCCAGTAGCGCGAGACGTTGATGAGATACTGGGGATGAAAGTAATAAACAGCTTGCTGAGATTCAAAATCATCCAGGACGTATTTCACCCGGATTGAGACGTCTGTGTTGCGAGTGTTGTAGAATGCCGGTAGCAGCACGGAAGCGTTCTCGTAGACTTGGAGCACGTCGTAGAAGGGTTTCCTCCATTTTTCCAGCTTATGAAATCTAAAGGGAAAAATACAAAAGTGATGGTCAGACCAGCATGGACTCAGACAAGAAACCTCCAACGGGCTTTTCCTGAAACATTTCTGCTACAGTCATAATTGAAAGGGGAATATATTTAAATTTGTAGCTTAAATGTCAGTATGAAATGCAGGGCAAAAAAGTAAGTTTGCTCTCCTCTTTTGGCAATACGTTCATTAAACAGTAGACAAACTTTGTAGACACTTCTGATCATGACTTGCTTCTCATTTTACTATGGGAAGTATGTACTTTTTCCAAGGTTTGGTTAGCTGTAGAGTGCACATATATTTTATAGTGTTTAAAAAGTGGTAAATACCAAAGCAGAGCAAAACCATTTCTAAAAAGACTAAGTGCAACATTTAAAAGAAATCCATAATGCAAGCAAGTGATTTTTTTTGTTACTTGAGAAGAGAAACACATTTTCCCAGCAAGAAAGGAATGCACGCACTAGCCCCATGGTCCCACACCTGTCAGTGAGGTGGCATTAAGGTACTAACAAATTTAAAATTAAAATCACTCAGTCAATTCCAGATACAAAGTTTAACTGGCATTTATTTATTGATACTTTATACATCATACTTTATTTAAGTATTTGGGGTGGGAACCAGCTGCTTCCACCCTAGTGTGTCCTATACACTTGCCCAGGTTTTGCCAGCGTAGTACAGGACTTCCAGGGGAAGGGTGGCTCTGATGTTATGATTTTAGCTCATCAGCTAAAATTATGATTCATCAGCTTCCCACTTCCTGTTATCAATGTGCGAGTCTGAGTGTTTAACACATTTCTATAAGTTGTTACAGATTCCAGAAACTAAATGACTTCAGTTCAGAATGAAATGTATGATTCATAGTGTCACTTTAAAGTAATATTGGGGGGAAAAAAATTCTCTGTAACAGAATTTAGTAAAAAGTAGGCTTGTAAAAGCAACAGGAGATGAAAATATATAAATAAAACAAATAATAATAAAAAAAAATCACCTCTCAGTAATTATACTGGGATTGACAGTCACGACATCCGTCTTCACCCCAACGTCCGTAAAGTATTTCTCAGATATCGGAGGCAAATTGCATCTACAAAGGAAAAATATTAGTAGGAAAGTTAAATAATTCCTTGCACCTTTTCAAGACTAAAAAGTAGAATTGATTGAAGCATTTCTTCCAAGCAACAAATCTAGAAACATATTGAGAATTTAAAATTGTATGAAACATGTTGATGCGTTGAAGTAACACGTACTTAGGGGCTGAATGAAGACCTCTCTCCTTCCCCAAGTCTGTCAGAGCTGACTCCTTTTTGCAGATGTAACCAATGTTCATTGCTTCCTCAATAGCAGTTAATCTATTTACTTTGGCAATTTAGGACGAGAAATATCACGAAGCCGCAAGTACAAGCAGCCCATAAAATCAATTATTTCCTCAGCAATGTCTGAGCTGTATTCAATAATTAATAAATAAACTATATCTACAACATTGCCTATAACATACTTTGGTTTATATCCAAGAGAATTTAGGAGAAATGCTCCACAAGAGAGAAATCGGTCCAGTCCTAATTAATCCAAAACTCTCTGCTTCCCTTTATATGTATCTCCCAGCAGCAATCCTGACTCTACAGATTCACCAGAGGATGTCAAAGCTATTAGGAGCAAATTTATGAAGATTTGCAAACTTTTACTTTGCCCAACCTCCACTCACCTTGGCCTTGACCTAGATTCACCATCTCAAAAACTCTAGAGCATCCCTCCAGAGATGCTGAAATTACTGAAACACACAAGATACCACATGAGCTTCACTTCCACAGGAAACCCAGATAAAAAAAAAGTTTCAGCATTATCAGAGGCAACAGAAGTGGCCTTGCAACTAGTTTTACGCTCAGTTTAAGCTAGGGTTGGACATTTTGGAAACTTTCAAAGTGATCTACAAGCCGCAATAAAAGCCATCACTGTTAAGATCCCCACATCTCAAAAATGCTGCTGTGCCTAATTCCCAAACATCTCCATATTTTTGAAGATCAGGGCTGAATCGGAGAAAACTACAAAGGCATTTAGGGTAAGCAATGCTCGGTGTTTTCACTGCCAGCATAATTTCTCCATCACAGGGAGAGGGCAGGTCGGGGAGCAGAGGAATGCACAAAAATCCTTCAAAGCCCTTCTCAGCCTCAGGAGGTTCACATCTACTTCCCAGAGAGTCCCTCTTTATCAGGTCAGAGAATTTTTTTTTAGACACCTCATCCTTCTCATGGGAAACTCATTTCCAGCACTTTTCTCTTCTAGGTCATGCATCGTCCTTCTGAAGTCCTCTAGCATCCCCAGTTCCACCTAGCACCGGGCGCTGTACTCATTAGATTATATTTGAAAAAAAAAGGTTTCAAATATTCAGCTTCAATACTTTCAAACTGTAAACTCCCACCAGGATAACGAAAGATTGATTTTTCTGAAAGTGATAATTCCTTATTAAAATGACACAATTGGCATAAACTGTAGTTTTGTCACAAAACTCAAAAAATTCATCCCTGCGAAGAGTTGTTCCATCTCGAAACACACACGTTTCATCTCTGCTCTGGCCAGTAGATGGAGACAGACAATAACAACTAGTAAATGCGATTCATATGTCTGTGTATTTTATATCTTCTATTGTAACATAATTAATTGCTATCAGAAAAACCTACACTGCGTCCTGCTGCCCACATGCTCCCTGACAATAAAAGATTTTCCCAGGTGTCCTGAAGGTATCACTGAATATTAGCAGTGCTCCATAGGCACCTTTTGAAATATTTTAAAGAGTTGCTCTGTTGATGACCAAGATGGTGATTCCTGACACTTTGTTGGACTGGTGTTAGACTGGAAAGTGGATGTGTTCAGACCTGACCTTAAACAGAAGCTTTACTTCAAAATGTATGTCAGTAGATGTTAAGCTCTAAAGCAGCAGCATGCATATAAATGCTGGTGCCACGTTTTGGAGATGCTGAAGCTGGGAATTTTTTTGCACAAATCCTGATGTACTTATTCATATTTCAGTTCTACTTAAGCTTCTATTTAATTAACTGCTGGTACTAAAAGCAACACAGTTTCTAAGTTCTGATCTGCTCTTTTTAATCAGTTGTGGTACAGTTTGAGGAAGAGTAACAGTGGTAAAAAGGGACCTTCACCAAAAGTTCTTATACATGACTGCCCCAGAAGGCTATGGCCACATTCACAGGACACTGCTCCTGGGCTAATGACCATGGAAGGATAAATCCACAACCTGAGTAACAGGGGATGTCCTGAATGAGGACATCAAATTTTGTCAGTAAGTCTATGATAACCACATGGAGTTAGGAAGAAATAATTCCGCAAAGTGTAATTTTTAAATAAATATTATACAGTGAGGTGTTTTTTTCGAAACATTGCTTTTTGTGCAAGAAGCAGGCTTGATATGGCCAGTTTGGCAAATCCCATGTTTCCATGGGAAAGAGAATAGCTTCGCAATCTTTTATTTGTCATTAAAACAGGCAAAATGCTAAATTATGCTGTGGTGATTACCGAAACACGAAGTCTGCACTGTCGATCTCCCGGCCACATCTGCTGTTCTTCAGAATCCCTCCGTTCCCAACCACTGCACATTTCTTAAACTGGGAGCGATGGTAGGGCATATCCTGCAACATCACAGAAAGGAAACAGTTATTCTCCTGAAACATGGAGGCAACAAGTCTTTTTTTTCATTTTTTCCTTTTTTTTTTGTGCAGCTGCATCCGGTTCTGAACTGCAATATTCCCATAGTGTCCACAAATGGATGGGATTGTTTGCTGTGCGATAAGAGATGCTATGGACAATTAAGAGAGAAAAAAAAGCAATAATCTGGTTTTGTCCAGACTTCATAATGGAAGAAATCATTTTAGAAACTTGCTTTCCCTTCTAGTTTCCATCTGAGGGCATGAACCGTAAAATTAGTGTGCCCCAGGTGTTGCGTTCCAGAGAAGCTAGTAAAGCCCAGGAAATCTCTCAAAATCAGACAGCACATTACAGTGATTAATCAGAACCTAGCCCAAATTTTGCTGCTTGCTACCACTAATTGTACTAATAGTCTTATTATAACTAGCACTTGTACTACCAGCAGTGCCTAGAGCCTTTGGTCGGGTACTTTTTTGGCCTGGTGTAGGACACATCTTTCTGCAATCTTTGGAAAAAATTCTGCATCTGCTACCGAAGCCGGAGAGAGTGAAAATCACATCTCTGAGAACAGAACAGGGCCATCAGGCCGAGAGGGTTGTGACGCAGCCCTCCACCTTATAAATATGTAGAGGTGTGGTTATATAAGCATGAGAGCGCTCATTTTGGTACATAAATATTTTATCAATCATTTCATACCGCAAACTACAGAGAGATGTGATAGTAGCACGACATTTCCAGGTGATTATTCCCAAAGCATTCATAAGTCATGAGGCAAAAGGGCAAGAACTACACTTGTTTGAGAAAAGAGCATCTAAAAGAGACGCATTATAGAGTCGTCTGTGTATTATCCAGCAATTTCTTAACACAAAATGCCTCAGCAGTCCTGAAAGTGGAGACCAGGAGCCAGGTCTCCGCACTCAGGACAAGGCTCTTGCCCTTAGCGTCTTGCTCCCATGCTTTCAGCCCTTTATCTCCTACATACCTGCTGCCTAGTAAGGCAAAAAGCAAAAAATGGTGAGACCCTGAAGGACAACATTAATGAAAAAAATCTAAGTACTTAACCTGAATATTTTTCTGACTTTCGGAAAGGGATACATTTCAGTTATCCCCTCCAAACATGTCATTTTAAATTCATGAGGTGTGCCCCATGATAAATCAGTAGTCACTAATTTATTTATTTGAGCCCATTTCTGCACATCAGTCATGATGTGCAATGGCAGTTCCCCGCTGGTTATAACTTTAATGGCCCTCAGGTCAAGGATTATTTGATGAAAATGCTTTGAATAATCATCATGATGAATATCTTTAAAAAATTGTGCAGATTCAAAGATAAGCCACAAAAAAGAAATTAGTATAAAAAGTTAATAATTGTGAATATGAGTTACAAAATAATCATGCTCCTAAAAAAGCAGACCTACTCCTACAATGTTGGATTTATTGTATGTGAGTACTGTACTTTTTAAAAAGTTCTGATCAGTAAGGGCCTCTTTTGTTCAGCTTTCTTAAATTATTTCATGAGCCACTTTGCTGCTAGATTAGTAATATTTTGCAGGAAAATATATATATTGCATACTAGAGCAGATGAAAACTAAAAAATAGGATAATCAGTTAAATCTCATATCAAAAATAAACATTTTCAAAGTATAAGCAATGACATTTGTAGGAATGTCAAACAGCCAACTGCTAAATGCTTGGCTACAGGAGAGCATCTAACACAGCAAGCAGAGTGAAGCTGATTCTGTAAATGGACAGAGGCATGAGGCACCTTTGGAAACATTTTGAAGATTTCTTGGTTGATATGGAAAATCCCACTAGTATCCACTTCATATTTCAGTTTAGTTCCCAAGGGAGTATTTTTCTGGGTGGTGAACAGAAAGGCAGGGGCATTGCAACACCTTGACAAAGTAGACCTGTAACATGAAAAACAGAGAAAGAAGATCAAGGAGCCGACAGCCTGCTTTACAATTTGCAATTATTATTACTCCTAATGAGGCGTTTTTAATTAAAAATAAACTTTTTAGGTGTAGGAAGGGTAAAGCAGAGGTTTGCTGGATTTTCCTTTAGAAAATTTCAGATTCTGGGAAATTTTGTTTGATTGCGGAACTTATGGTAAAAAAAAGAAAAACAAAGAAAACCAAAAACCAACCAAACAACAACACAGAAGAAATTAGATCCCCGTATCAGTTTCTGCTAGGCTCCAGGAAATACAGGTGCAAATTCTGCCCTGCTCCAGACTCCAAAGATGAGCTTCTGCCCTCAATATCCTGAGGAAACCATCCTAATGAATTAGTCCCTCTCTGCTTTAGAGGTCTTCCACTTTTTATAAATTATTTACTTATCACTGGGCAGGAAACGCTGGGGTTAAAGAATTCATCTGGCATGTGAGAGCTTGGCAGGGCAGGGAATTAAGCACAGCAATAGCTAACCACACTACCCCACTTACCAGACTGCTGTGCAGCTCAGCACACTTCGATTACAAAAAAACTTTTAAAGGTCTGAGTTTTGCCTTGGACCTTACACATGTGCATCAGGAAGATGATGTGGCCCCAACAGACGGATGCGAGGCAGACTAGTCATGGCTCAAACAAATGGCCAAAATGTTTGTGGGATTCTTGGCAAGAGAGAAAATGCATTCAGCTCTGATATGAAAACTGAATAGGAAAAGCAGCTGCTCAAACAAGGGTCCATTTCTTAGCTCCCATCTTTCCCTGAATGTTTTTCTCCTTTTACTGGTGGAACTGAAAGCCCTGACTTCAGCTGACTTTTACTCCAGAGCTAATTTGTTTCTCAGTCAAAGCACTTTATAACTTTAATAAAAAATACATGTCATGGCAAATGCACAAACATGAAGACAACACTAATGGCTCTCAAATAACCTCAACTAAATACCTTGCCTCTGGGGTACATGGCCTCGTTATGAGTTGGAAGAATAGGCTAGTCTTCTTTTTGGGCTTTATTAAAAGCACCAGAAAGCAAACACAGAATTATTTAAAAATTTCAGTGACGTCCAATTAATATTATATGCTTGACTCATGCAATATGATCAGATCAAGGCAGCAACTGAGAATGAATAAGTCACCACATAATTTCTAATAACTAAATCATTAAATAATTACAAGCAGGTAGGGGGATTGAATTGTGATATTTGAGATAGGAAAAAACTCTTCATTAGTTCTGCATTAAGGAATTGAAAGAGATGTTGTTTCTTAACCTAACGTCCAACTGTTTTTTCAGAAGCACGTTCCTTAATGGAAATGTCTGATACCTGATGGAGGAAGACTGTCAAGGTTTTCCTTAGTCTCCAGATACAAAACCTCATGTGATTTTTGTGCTTCCTCCCTCCCTGCTGCTTAGGTAGCTACCGTTTAACTTTTGTTGGATTCTGCCCATCTCACCTGGTGGCCCAGAACTGACAAAGTTGGAAAGTGTTGGCAGACTACCACCTTTTAGCCTCCTACTAGTCTACCTCTAAAATTTGAGACTTTGGTCTGCTTTTAAGGGACTACAGTTTCCCCACACATTCACACATTGAAGTCTCTGCCCCATAAGACAAAAATGAAACAGATTATGAACTTTTTTTTTTTCCCAGCTGGCCTCCATACTTCAATGTGCTCCATGCATTCTGGGCACAATCGTGAGTTCTGTTACTCCCAGCAGTCTTTAAGACAGTAGGGTCTACTCCTGAACAGCTGTTTTCTTCAAAATGGGCTCTGATAATTGCCCATCAAGTAACTTCCAGAAAAAAAAAATACTAAAAAACCCTAAAAAATCTTATGTGTAAAGCTCAAGTTGTAAAAATTGCTGTGAGTCTGGGACTAACAATTACTTATTTTTAAAGATGTTAATGACTAACTGGGCACATGCATTCTCACATTCTCTCGTGACAGCTATATTGTGTAATCATGCAAGAGAATCTGGGAGAAAGTTGTGGGCCCTTATTCTAAACAACAGCTCTGAATCATGCCAGTCATGGTCTTTTCCATACCAAATTCCCTGCCTTTTCTGGGAAGAACTCCCACACGTCAGAAGAACTCTCTTTCACTCTTACTGCTGAATTTTTAAAAGTAGAAAACAGTCCATATTTATTCAAAAGGATGGTACTCCAACAGCAACAGTATTATAATGCTTACTCTTGCTATCCATATGAAGGTTTGATCTCTCTACAGGAAGCTAAACTCAAACTAAAGTTAAGTCTTACTCAGGCTCATTAATGTGGACTGTTCTTACTTGAATAAATTAGCTTCTGTGACATTCATCTCCCATTTGCACATCTGCAGGCTCTTCCATCTGTCAAACAATTCAGTTTGTTTCACCCTAAAAGAGAAAAAGAAAGAAAAGAAAAATTCACTTTATTGCAAAGGCTTCATTTCCTACTGTACCAAAGTCTGTCCTGTCCATAGTCTGCTGGGAAGCGTCTGGTAACTACAGTGGTTTTGGAAGGAAAAGTTGCACCTTGCAAAAGGGCCCAGCAGAGGGGGTATCGGAAAAAAAGATATTTTAGATAATTTGACCAACTACCACTGTATTTGGGTGAGGTTATCTAAATCTGTGAGATCCTACAGATTAATGGATTGGTAAATCCATTCTGTAAACTGCAACAGCACACGTTTTTGGGAAAAACATCTGTGATGGTATGAGGACGTGAAAAGGTCTTTATGTAAGGATCTCTCCCTCTGTTAATAAATATACTGTCAGTTATATCAAAAAATGACACTCCTGTATCTACTAGGCTGGTACAGGATGGCACATTTTTGGTGATATCATCAATTTTAACCATTCCCACCTTAGGGTTCATGCATACTCTTCTGTATTTGGGCAACAGAGACAATGAAAGCCTTGCAAATATCTTGGGTTAGGGTGCAATGTCATAATCTGGCTAGGAAATTTTGAAGTCGGAGATTTCTTTCAACACTGATAGATCTTAATGAGTTCTCTTCAGGCTTGAGGGCTTTGAATGGTTGAATAAAGCAAAGATTTTAAAGATAATTATATATTTAGATTGAGCAGAATTTAGGATTTCCCAGGCTGTGGAAGTTACAGGAAGGAATTAGGTCATATTGTACTTTCTGTAGCCCACCAGAGCACATTCACTTGGAAATCTTCCATTACTGTAAGGGTTGACTTAGGAAACAGAGCACGTTAGAAACAAGCACACTGGAAGAATCCAGTGGAGTAAAAGAGCTTAATGATAAATGGCATCTATCGTAAAAGTACGGCCAACTCTATCCAGCTGATCTGGAGTCCACTACCTTCTATGTGCCGTTGGACAAGGTGAAGATAAATGAGTAATTCTCTGTACCATCTGATAAGTATGCAGAAAAGCAACTCAAAACTTCCTATCTTCAGCAGAACATTGGCAGAAGTGTCACATTCTCACCCCTTCTTTTTATTTTTAAGCACTGCAAGTCAGCAAGCAGTGCAAAGTTGTTACTCGTGTATCCTTCATCCAGTACCAAACACAGAAGACAAGGACATAACCTACATTTTTCTGGGCACAAAGTCAGTGAAGGAGACACGCTTAAAATTCATGCAGACCTGGAGGAAAATTGTATTTTCTGGAGCTTCACGCCCCAGATTGCTTCACGCTATGCACTTGTATAGCTGCACTTTCAACTGAGATTCTCAGTGCGCTTTACAGACCTCAAAAAGCCTTGAGGATTGTCTGTAAAATCACCAAAACCCTGGTTTTAGATATGGCAAGGGTTTGGGCATAACCTAAGCACCTAAATAGGACCACAGAAGACAAAATACACATATTTAATGGTTTCTCAGAATCACATTTTCCTACTTTTTACTGAATGCTATTAACTTGTGAAACTCGCTGATGATTGAAGAGGGCAAAGTAGAAATGAGCTCAGAAAAAGATATGAACAAATTAACAGAGAGGTCTATTGTCCATTCCGATTACTGTAGTCTAGTTAACATCTACCACTCAGCAAGTCCCCATGCTAGTATTTGTTATCAGGAAGGGTTAATGTTTTTTCTTCATTTTTTAGCTTTCCCAACTGGCTGCTGTCAATGATAGAGCCTTAAGCTGGATGGACAATTGCCATGAGTCAGTTTGGGTTTTCTTACTCTTCAACTACGTGGAATATAATATTGCAAATAATATTACAAGCACTGTATTTAATTCCAACTTAATTCTGGACCTCAGATCAAATTCAAATGTCATTACTTGCATGTATAAAAGAGCTTCAGGAATCCCTGATGAGATCCCTGTTGACGGGATCTCTTGAGCCTTGCATCTTTTGATAGTGTCATTGTAGGTTATCATTTTCATCCTGCCTGAAAAGTAACCTTTTTAGCAAGCAGTCATTCATACTTACATAGACAAAACCTTCACCTCAATGATGTCCTGCCGTAATTCCAGGCATTTGGTAGAGTTGTATTCCAAAGGCCCTTCATAAAACTCAAAATACCTGAAGAAGAAAAAATATTATAAATAAGGCTTAGACTAGAATATTGGTCTTACACATCAACAGAAATTTGCTTAAAGTTGTCATTTACTATTTCAGCCTAACCTGAGACTACGCTGTCTGGCCCACAGGCAGGTTATTATTTCACAGAAAAACACTGATGTCATTCCTGGTTGTAGAACAGCCACCCATCTCCAGTCTGTCTGTCCCTTATAGGACCAACAAGGACCAGCTACCTTTTCCAGAAATCAGCACATGATAGCTGACACTGAAAGTCAGGGGAAAAGCATTGATCACATAAGGAACATTGTTCCCATCCTTTGGGTGTCTGAATGTGCTGAGCTTGAAAAACTTCCTTAAATTTTGCTCTTAGGTGGAAAGCAAAGCGCTGGATGCTGCATTTTGTCTGTGGAGGCTGTTTCATACCTCTACACAATTGGGCTTTTTGTTGGGATTTACTTTTTTTGTATATTTGGAGGGGAAGGGGAGCTGGGATTTTCTTCTCAAAAAAAGTTGAGATGGGTTTTGAGAACAAAAGAATTTGAATGCTCAGACACAGCACAAATGACAGTGCTACTCTTAATTAAAACATAAACACAGATATTTACTTTTTTGGTTCAACTCCTCCACCTTAGTCATCAGACTGGAGTGAAAGGGGAACAAAACACAATGGTAGCTACTCATGTTTAGGGGCCAGAGAAAGCCCAGGCTGCCTAGTGAATTCAATGGGACTGTACTGAAATGACAAGAAAAGATTTAGGGTTTAAATCTCTGTATCAGTTTCACCACTTATCATTAGAAACCTGCATTAAAACCTAATATCTAAGAACTGTGCATACCCATACAGCAGTTATGAGCATAACGAAGAAATATAAGAAAACCTGGAGGAATAGGTATTACGACCAAGGCTAGAGCAAGGTTTTTTATGGAACCTTTAAAATCTCAGAATTCATGAGGATGTAACTCTAAACTATATTTTACATTTTCAACATGAAAGAAAAATACAAGATTCCTCAAAGAGCTTTATTTAAACCATCATTGGAAATGTAATATTTTGGGTCTGTGTCATTTTAAAAGAACATGAAAATTCATGTTTGACCTGAATGTCTGTTCAGTTCTGAATACACAATCCTTAAGCAGGAAAGCCTTGTAGGTCTCCTTAGTAGTTCACATTTATAGTTAATATCAAAATTTTGGGGGGATCCAAAGTTTGATCTGTTCTGGAGAAGTGCTAAGAGGTCACACCTCCCAGGGGAACTGTAGGAAGGGAGAGTGTCCAGAAAACATCTCCAGGCAACTTCAAAAGGGTCTCCAAAGGCAGGAAACATGTAAAAGCAAACAGCTTCTGAATATGTTAAAAATGTGACTATTTGGAAATGTGTTTGCATAGTCCTCGAGGCAACAAATATATTTTTATGAGATTTGCCAAGGAAATTATGTACTTAAGTGCTCCATAATCAGTGACAAATCTGGGAAAAGACTTCCTGAGCCTCCAGAAGGGAGATAAAGTTCATGTGACATGAACCTTTATCTGATATCTCACCAAAAGGCTTGGGCTCTCCTCCCAACTCAATCATTCACCTGGACATTCCACCTTTACTAAAGACTATCTGAAATCCATTGCACTGGTACATCTCCTGCATGCTTGGCTTGTTGAATTGGAGCTGAGCAACTTGTGTATTTTGGAAGCTGCTCCAACCAAAACTGGATTAAGAACTCACCTGGCTGCACCAAGCCAAAGCCCTGTGTGGACGTCCACACAAATTTCCAAAAGTAAACAGAAATCTCTCTCTGTGGAGCCAACACCACAGGACTTCTTGCTGGTCACTGAATTTTACAGGAGTGAAGGAGTCTCCTTTTGCTACCAGTCCAGACAACTTCTTCATCCTTCTGCCATACTCATTTTTCTTACTGTATTTTGCTTTATCCATTCTTTACTTTGGTTCTTTGAGTCAGACAAGACTGGGAACTTGAATGTGCATGTTCTACACAATAACTAAAGGGAGGTACACTTGCCCAGGCAACACTCAGCACATTACACACCACTCCCACCTCTTTCATAGAATCACAGAATCATTAAGG